ACCTCCTGAGTGGGGTGTAAGGCTCCAACAAGACAATCTATGGGTCTGGCTCAGCACCTCAAGGTGCTTACTGCAAGGAGGTCCACCAGGGAGGAATGGAGGCTGACCGGCTCCACCCAATGGAGGAATGCTCATATCGGATCAAGTAGACAAGAGGATGCTAACCAGGCTTAGACTGAGCTGCAGATCTTGGTGTTTGTTTGGTGAGAAAGGACTTTACCATTTACTCTAACTTGCTTCTGCCTCCCATCTGTTGGGATTAAAGGCAAAAGTCACTGGCATTCACTCATGGTGAAAAGCCTGTGCCAGTCCTCTGTGCCCTCACTTCCCCAGGTCAGCCCAAAGGACTGACTGCAGTCCTGTTCCTCTGAGCAGGGTCTAGATTTCCATATGACCCTGTAGCCAACCAAGGTCACCTTCAAGACACTTCACACTGGAATAGCAGGTAGTGGAGTGCCAGGAGGGTGAGACTGCCAGCCAGGGCCTGTAGGTTCCAAGAATGTCACCTCCACAAATCCCTGTGCTCACCTCACAGGACTCCCTCGCCTCCCCACGGACTCCCGGCCCACTCTGTGAGCCTGACACTGTCATGTTATCATAAGGGGTAAATTACTTTGTATCTGATCAAGCCCAACACTGCTTAACTAACAAGACTTAGAGCCCGACTTCTGGGGCCCAGAACAAGTGTTGCTCTGCAGGAGGATCCTACAGTCACAGTGAACAGACATGCATGCAGGCAAAACATTCATACACATAAAGGGACATAAACAAATCTAAAAAAAATTAAAATAGAATCAGAGCCTGGCATAGTGGTGGACTCCCTCCCCCAGCTCCTTGCTCAGCATGGAGGTGGGAAGGTTAGGAGTTTAAGTTTAAATTGAGGCTAGCCCAAGCTACATGAGATCACATAGCTTGATAAAAACCAGAACACAACAAATATGAGAAAGAAAAAAAAAAGGTCAGTTTACTTAGCACTGAGGTGTAGCTTGGCTGTAGATTGTGTGCCCTGGGTTCCATACCTGGCACTACGCTACCTTGTAACATTTATTTTTCCAACATCCTATGAGGTGGGCATTCTATTAGACCCAGAGAAGTAGTGATGTGTCCAGGGTTACTCAGGCTTCTCGCCTCCCCTGCCGCTCTGCTCTGTACAGTGCTGGGTCCTCTGGGACATCCCACCCAGGACAGAAACACTGCGATTCCTGTGAACTCCAGGCTTCCCGCAGGCTCTGGACTCTCAGGACCCGCACTGCAGAATCCTGCAGAGGAGAGTAGGGGCCTGAAATACCTTGTCCTGCGCCATTCCCAGGGTTCCCCAACTCTGGGAAACCACCCAGTGCCAGATCTGAGGAAGGTTGAAATTTAGGTGTAGTTGGAAACAGAGGAAACAAAAAAGAGGGGGTGTCTAGTTGGTGTGCCCAGACCTGAGCCAAGAACTTGGAGGGGTGCAGGAGGGAGAAAGGGTTTCATGTTAGGAATCTGTAAAATGGAGCCAGAATTTTCTTGTTTATTTGTTCATTTTGCTTGCTTGATGCCATACAGCCAGTGCCAGGCAGTAGACCTTCTCAAGGGTAGGCCTGGGCTCCGTCAGCCCTGCCATCTCCAGGGCCACTAGCCACATTTTCCAGTTGAGATCCTGGTAAACAGGAGAAAATCTAGAGGAGACGGGCAAACCAGTACTTGCCTCAGCCTGTTTGGGCAAAGCTACGTGGTTCCAGGGTGAGTCAGTAGCAGAGCTGCCTCTGGGCTTCTGCTGGCTCTAGAATATAGCAACATTAAGAGTTGTATATCTGGGCCTGGGTCCCCAGGGTCACAGAGAATCCCAAGAGCCTCACTTGGATAAACAAGCCCCAAGCCGGCCTTAGTTAAGCAAGATGTGCTAAATGCTAACGAGTCTGCTAGTTGCCCCACCAGGGTTTGAGAAGCTAGAGACACCTGAGAGGCCTGGTCCAATGGGAAGGAGCTGGAAAAGCTAGGCTCAGGCGCGGGGTTGGATCTGTCATTTGGAACTAAGGTGGCTCGGTTCCTCAGACAGGATTAATTGAGGCTTGGAATTTGAAGTGGCCTTGTCAAAAGGTGAGCTTTGGGATCCCACTAAATTCTTAAATCTCATTAACCTCAGGACAGCGAGGACCGGGCAGAGAAGCAAGAGGGTGGGCCAGGCGCGCCCCCTGCCGGTCGCCCCATGTCTCTTTGCTCCAAGGCTCACTGCAACTCCTTGGAGCTTGTTTCCCTAGATGTGAAACAAGAGCAGCCTTGGAGAGAACTTTGTGATGCCAAGTGGGCAAGTGCCTTGGAGTTTCTTGGGATTGGGGTGTCATTGCCTGATCCTTCAGGGATGCGGGGAACCCGACAGCTCATTTCGTCCCTGCAGTGGACGGCTGCATTCATCGGGCCGCGGGATCCCTGCTCACGGACGAATGCCGCACCCTGCAGAACTGCGAGACCGGCAAAGCGAAGATCACTTGCGGCTATCGGCTGCCAGCCAAGCGTGAGTGCTGGAGGGGAACTGCCCACAGCCAAAAGGGGGCGTCCTAACGTTATGTATAAGGGCCTGGCCCCTCTGACACCCCAGATAGCAGATGGCAAGGGGCTGGAGCTGCAGCAGGGAGGAGAGCCAGAGAGTGAGAGGGCAATGTCCAGGTCTTCCACCACGTAGCAGTGACATGCGGGTCACAGGTGTGTGCTGCAAGGGTGAGGTCCTTCTGGTGAGATGGCAGGAGAGACCTACACCTCCGGCTGACTGAAGCCATTACCCAACCCTAGATGTCATCCACACAGTGGGGCCCATCGCTGTGGGCCAACCCACGGCCAGCCAGGCGGCCGAGCTCCGCAGCTGCTACTTGAGCAGCCTGGACCTGCTACTGGAGCACCGGCTGCGCTCGGTGGTAAGAGTCAACTGGCGGCAGGGGCATAGGCATCAGGGAAGGCACCAAGTGACCAAGTCCCCATGTCGTCTTGTCCTCTCTTCCTTAGGCTTTCCCATGCATCTCCACAGGCGTGTTTGGTGAGTCTGGAAATGCAAGGCCTGGTGTGGCCAGTGCTTCCTCTCCCCACCCCACCCCCGTCCTAGAAGTGAACAGGGTGGGGCCAGATGTGGACTCACCAGACCCTCCCCTCAGGCTACCCCAATGAGGAGGCTTCGGAGGTAGTGCTGGCTACGCTGCGAGAATGGCTGGAGCAGCACAAGGACAAGGTGAGACTTGAGAGAGCGGTTGGCAGTGAGCTGGAGGAGTGCCAAGCGCTAAGCTGGTGTGGCGGGTTGGTACCTGCCCTCCCCGGCCCACTCCCTAGGCCAGGCTTGTTTGTTGTGAGACATAAAAGGGAAGGAGCAAGTGTTACAGCCTGAACCCCTTCTATAAATGGTACAGTGAATTCTCAGATCTCCTGAGGTAAACAGTGTAACCATTGTAGTCAAGACCCTGCAAGGGCAGGTGCATTTGGGGGAGCACACAGTACCAGGACTGAGAGGCCAGTGGAGGCCTCGCCCAGGCTGAGCAAGTCTCCCTGGCACAGGTGGATCGGCTCATCATCTGTGTGTTCCTGGAGAAGGACGAGGGCATTTACCGGGAGCGCCTGCCCCATTATTTCCCAGTAGGTACGTGCCTTTGTTTTCCTCCTGGCCGCCCCAGGTCAGCCTACCCCCTCCTCCAATGCCCCGGGGCGTCTCTCACTGTCCTCTGCCTTCCAGCCTGAGGCTCCCACAGCCCATCCTGAACAGGACTGGTAAGCAGGGCCTGACCCAGTATGGTGTGGCCGCTCTACACTAACCTGGCCCTCTAACACCCGCTCAATCTACCATTGCTTACCTACATGCAGTGGGGCGGTGAAGGCAGGGAGGGGGCCCAGGGGCTTCCAGAAGTCCTCAATTCCCTTTAATCTATCTGCTCTGCCCTCAGACCCACCTGGGCCTGTAGGACCTCGTTCCCAGCTCTGAGAGGTCTCAGAAGCCTACAGCTTGTTCCAGCTTGGCCACCACGCGGTTCTGTCCTTTCCCTCAGCCCTGCCTTTCAGAAACCTCCTAATAAAGCTGTCTGGCTCAGCCTTCACTGTCTGGGTCTGGCTGGGTCCCCCCTGACCCCCTCCCACGAGGAAGGTAGCCCCTGGTAGGGATGGTGTCTTGGGCACCTTGCTTCAAGAGGCTACAGCAGCCCTGAGTGAGCTAGGAGGGTAGATGCATGGGCTAGACAGCAGAGGCAGCGGCAGCAGCACTTCACATTTATTGAGGGCCTGCCCCCAAGGAGCTCACAGCCTGGGCTGAGACCCCACATGTGCTGGGGGTGGGGAGAAGGCAAAAAGGCAAGTAATGCAGATATGGCCCAAGCAAAGGGGGTGCAGAGCAGGCACAGGCAGGGGCTCTGGGGAATAGGTAACAGGAAAGCCCTACTAGAATGTGTCTCTCTCACTAGGTCAGCTCCTCCAGGGGCCCACTGAGGATGCCTGGCTCCTCTACCTACTCTAGGCCAGCTTCTTCCCATAAACCTCTCACCCCAGGACTCCTCAATCATGCAGACCCCTGAAGGTGGGCAGAGAGTTGTGATCAGGGTCCCTGGCCAGAATAGCAAGTCTGTAAGTGCTGTGAGTATGGGTGGCTTGTGACTTCTGGTCAAGTTCCCAAGAACTTCAGCCGTTCCCACAGAAGCCCTTGGGAGGCTAAGGAAGAGAGGGCAGGCCCTAGGTAGACAGCACAATGCTAAGGAACCAGAAGGGACCCATGAAGGCCTAGTCCCCGCAAACTTCTCTTGGCAGGAATGCTTGGCGGTAGATAGGTGGAAAGCGAGGGGACCCGTCCTGGGGAAAGGGACAGCCAGACAGACACACAGCAGCCAGCAGGCAGGTAGGGAAGGGCAGCAGAGCAGGGAAACGCACACGCGGGCTCACCACCAGCATCCCCTTTAATAAAACATGGAAGGTTCTGTGACAGGAAAAGGGAGGAGTGAAATATGACCATTTACAACCACAAAAAAAAAAAAAAAAAGAAAAAAAAAGAAAAAAAAGAAAACCCTCTGTACATGTCTAGCGCCTGGCAGGGGGAGGCAGGCAGGGCACAATAGGCCAGCCGGCCCTATTTGTAGAGGATATCGTAGTGTCCAGGTCGGTACAGAAGGTAGACCTTGGGCTCGGAGCCCTCGGGGAAGACGTGCGGGTTGGTGGTGCCGCCCTCCCCGCGGTCCATGTACTCCACTTGGATGGCCACGCTGAGGGCCTGGGCCAGGGCGATGATGTGGATGTGGTCGCTCTCCTTGCACATGGGCTCCACCTCCTGTGGCATAGGGGCGGGTCAGGCCTCGCCCAGGACCCTTCCCAGCTCCCACAGCTCACCCTGGCATGCCCCACCCTGACACAGAAGAGAACAGGAGAGCCCCAGGGCAGAGTTGGAGAGGAGGTGGCACCTACCTGCTGGCAGAACTCCTTAACAGTCCGGCCACCCTCTATGAAGTGCTCGAAGAACTTGCTCTCCCGCTGCAGGTAGCCAGAGGTGAGCAGTCGCAGGTAGACCACAAGGTAGTCTGAGGTGCTCTGGTCGTTGAAGGAGGCCAGCAGGTCAGCTACTGAGGTCTGCTTCTCCACCTGCTCGATAAGGTCCATGAACTGCCCCACCCAGGGACAAAAGGTAAGATGGGGAAGATATGTGACAAGAGGCCATCCTTACCATATCCTGGAGAGCCACCCTTCTTGTTAACCCAGCCTGAGACAGGCGGGCTCGCTCACCGTGTTGTGGAAGTCCTCGATTGTGAATTCAGTGAAGCCCTGGGACACCAGGTCCTCTTTACTCTTGGCGGACACGGCTTTGAACCTGTAGGTGGGAGGAATGGGAAGCCAATATGGGCTCCTCAGCCAGCGGAGCAAGGCCCTAGCCAGCCCAGTCCTGCCTAGACAAGGACACCCACCAAGAGCAACCCAACTGATGGCTGGCCTAAGGCCCTGACGTCCCCAGGAGAAGGCCAAGAGCCCCCAGCGCCCATCGTCCTCACCGCTGCAGTTCCTTGCTGTCATCCAGCAGTGCCTCCAAATGGGAGAAGCCGAACGCTCGATAGAAGCAGTTGCCGTCAGGCCTGGTCTTCCGGATGTATGAGTACTTTTTGTGGAGGTCCTGCAGAGGAACAGCCAAGCTTAACATTCACCAGTCCAAGATATGGCTATAACAGCAGGTGGCAACTGAGTTCCAGGTTCCCATCTCCTGGCTTCTGAATGGGGACACCAAGTCACCCACTGGCAGAGTCCTCCCTGGAGGCTCCTGGATGCTATGCACTTATATGTCAATGGTTGTATGGTCACCAGCTGCTAAGCTATGTGGGTATCACTGGCTAGAGCGTTGCTTAAAAACAGGTGACTAAATCTGTCCTTGACTAATGTGGCTGTTAAGGTCTTCAAATGCAAGCAAGACAAAGCAGGGGAACAGGACAGGCCACGCGACCAGCTGCCCTGCTCAGCAGGGCTCTAGCCACACAGAGAAGCTCTCCCTACAGTCTGAAGTGAAACCAAATCCCCAGTACACTTTCACCTTCTAACCATGCTGCCCACTGCAAGGCCATCTCCATCAGCCTTTTCCATCAGCTCTGCCTCCTCCACAGGAAGCACATCCATGACACTGACTCCTAGTGCTGCTTGGTAAGCAGGCCTCTCACCCACCTGGACACCCCTGGCCCTGGTCACCCCTTATGCCTGCTCCTTCCTCAGATGACTCTCCTCAGACAACTGTCAGTAATGAGAGTCCCTTCCCACTGAGAACATGGCCCTGACATCTCACCTGCCACTAAGCTGCCCCAATATTCACTACCAACTCCTGTCCTACAAATTCAAGGACAGCTCCCTACCAGTTTTGACTCCAGAGACATAAGATCCAGGTAGGCCTCCAAATAAAAACAGAAACTTCTGTGGGAGGCTTTTGTCTGGCTAAGGTTAAGAACAACCTAGAGCTACTGTATCAGCTCTCCCCAGCCTGGCCTGGGACAGTGGCAGCACTACACTTCATCTCCTTTTCACCTGTCCTCTCCCATGCTACCCCTCATCTTTCTCCATGCTGAAGGGTAAGGCTCCACTAAAGGACACAGTACCCTTCTTCAAGACACCTACCAGTTACAACATACCCAAACGCAGGGCTTCCTGCCTGCCCTATAAACACCAGAGGCCTGACTATCTCTTTATCTCTTAGTCACAGATACAGTATTTCCTTTCATTTTGGTTTTGAAACAGGGTCTCATTTTGCAGTTCAGGCTGGTCTTGAACTTGCTGTAATCTTTCCTCGGACTTCTGAGTGCTGAAATTCCAGACCACCAAACCTAGACAGAGTTCCACCTTAGATGCTTCTGCCTCTCTGCACCTCTTCCATGTCTGAGACATCTCCATTGCCGAAGCTGGTTGCACTAACCTGATCTTCACCCAGGCTTTCAATTACCTCAGAGATGACCCACTTCTGCCCGGACACATCTACTGAACAGTAGATCCCATAGACTCTTCCTTCAACACACCTAGCACACAAGTTTATCACTACACAGCTCACTCCTGGTCTATCATGCCTGCTTAATGTTTTACTGCCAAAGCCCCTCGCTATCCCCTCTTCCTCCACTGTCTCCTGAAACTTATTTTCACCCCGCTGAAGCAACAGTAACCTTACAACTAAGCTTTCTTCCTGTCTGTATCCTTGAAAGCACCCAGATACTCCCAGGCCAAACTGGCTTTCATGGAAGCCCTAGCCTACCCACATGTCTACTTACTAAACCACCTCAGTCCCACTACCCTTGGACACCCTGCCACTTGACATTTTGCTTCTGTCTATTCGTCAAATAAATCTTTCATAGAGGCTCTTGCCCACTACCCCTATTTAAAATGCAAATTCTCAGCCAGTCATGGATGCACATGTCTTTAACCCCGGCACTCGGGAGGCAGAGGCAGAAGGATCTCTGGAGTTCAAGGCCAGTCTGCACTACATAAAGTCCAGGACAGCCAGGGCGCTGTTACACAGGAAAACCTTGCCTCAAATAAGAAAGAAAGAAAGAAAGAAAGAAAGAAAGAAAGAAAGAAAGAAAGAAAGAAAGAAAGAAAGAGAGAGAAAGAAAGAAAGAGAGAAAAGAAAGAAAGAAAAGAGAGAAGAGAAAGAAAGAAAAGGAAGGAAGGAGGAAGGGAAATTCAAATTCTCCCTTTTATTTCTTTCCACAGTACTAACCACCTCTAACAACCAAATTTTGTGTGTGTGTGTGTGTGTGTGTGTGTGTGTGTGTGTGTGTTAGAGTTGGGACAGGGTTTTGCTATATTTAGCCCAGATTGACCTTGATCCTCCTGCCTCATTTTCTCCTGGGATTAAAGACATGCTGCCCACCGTATACCTTTGGTTTGTATCTGTCTTGCACTGCCCCCTGTAAGCATCACAGAAGCAGGACTGTGTTTAAGTCCCCAGTGTATGTAGTACCTCCAGCGCCTGACAAATGTAACATGACCACTGCACTAAGGTTGCTCAGAGTCCAGCCACTCTGCTATTGTAAACTCACTGGGCACATACTGCCAGGCATCCTGTAGAGGGCTCATGCCCACTTCCTCACATCCTCACAAAGTCTACTCCACACAGGAGCCAAGTACATACCCAGCCTGGTTTTGCTATCAGCAGCCAGGAAGAACTAGAGGGCTTAAGCACAGTACACAGGAAGGAAGTTTAGGTGCTGAGGTACCTTGCTGTAAACAGCTCTTTTCAAATATTCAAACAGTTGGCTAAATGACTCAATGATAAGAACCCGAGGATCTCCTGTTGGCTTTACAGGGCAGCTTAGTAGAAGAGGTGGCCCTAGATGGGGCATCACTCTACTAACTGGCCACATGAGAGAGGAAGAGCCTACTGCTTTCTAAGTGCTTGCTGGGCACAGCAGCACTCAATTCAACACCTTCCCTAAACTTGCCCCATGGGCTGAAAATAACTCTAGCCAGAGATCCAGTATGGCCTGAGGTCATCCAACTGGAGAGTAAAAGTCTACCTGGCTCAAAATCCAGGGCCTTTACCTCCTCACATATATTTTGGAGCAAGGGTATATGCAGATCAGACTGCAGGCAGCTGATCTATGCTGAACAGGGGTTATTTAGTTCACACATTTCCCCTCAGGTGCTAAGGACAACTTAAAACAGCCTTGCAAACACTGGGCTCATGCTACTACTAAGCTAGCTGTACCTCAGCCCTACATACCATTCTAAGTTTTCATTACCTGCCAACTGCTCAGAGTCAGGAAAGCTTCTCTGGCAACAGGGGAGTAACTGTGGATACTCACTACCGTGCCTGGCTACGTTTGAGCTATGATGCCCTCCCAGTTAACCTCTCAGGCAGATTTGCTCTTGCACTGCCCCTGTAAGGGGGATACCTGCTTGGCCACCTGAAGGCCCCAGCTGCAGGCAGAGGATACAAACACCTATGATCTTTAGAGGAAGACTGGAAGCACACCACTTCTTAACCCTTCAGGCTGTCTACTAAATACTGTTTCATATCAGGGTCACAGTTCAACCACCACTGCTCCCAGCCTTTGGGGTGACTGGTAAAAAAGCTTGCCTCAGCTTGAGTGATGCAGCAGGGACACACAGAAGAGGTCTGTCCTCCACAAAGATCCAGTAGACAGACTATAGGACAGGTCTCTGTGACCAATCTACCCATCCCCAACACCAGCAAGTTTGGGCCCTGGCTGGCTACTGAGTTGTCAGTGCCCGCCCAGCTTGCACCTGGGCCCACCTGAGCATCACCTACCTCAACCTTACAGCCACCCTACAGGCAGATGCTTTCACTGTCCCTATTTTACAGATGAGGACACACAGGGCTCAGAGACACTGAAGGACCTGTCAAGAAGACAGCTGCTGAGTGGCAATCTGATGTGAATGGAGGTCTCAGTCCAGAGGCTGCACACTTCAAGAACTAGCAATAGGAGGTGTGTCCCCACCCAACACCCAACCCTCTCAGACTTTAGGCCAGACAAGAAGCAGGGCTGAAACAGGCTCCCTCCTGTCCCTCTGGCCAGGATCCCACCTTGATCTTCTGTTGGTAGATGTTGTCATCCTCAGCATACTCCTTGTACAGGACTGAGAGTTCCAATCGCTCTGACACAAGAGGATTCTGCACAGCAATCTGCAGGGAGGCAGGACACTGAGTAACCCATGCCTAACACCTACAAAAGGGGTGCTGGGCGGGCCATCCAGTGGCACAGCAACCCCCATAAAAGAATGAAGTACCTAAAATAGACTTGAGAGGGGAGGGCTTCAATGTAGATATTAGGCCTCAGGCCCTGACTATGCATCTTCACCACAGAGTCCTCAGCTACTCCCTCCCCAACCTTCTTCAGCACCTCACCTCTTGCTGAATTCGGTCCTGCTGAGCCATAATGGCTTCATCATAGGCCAGACAGTTAACACCTAGAAAAAGGAGAAAAAAAGAAGTGCCAACTAAGGGTTCCTGTGGGGTCTGACTATCTAAGGCAGGAAGCTTTGGCAGAACAGGTCTGGAATCTGGAACCCTATGCCTTACACCCCACTGTGTATTCTCAGCAAAGTCCTTCCCTCTTTGAGTTCTCATTTCCTCAACTTTTGGAGAAGGTAGCTGGGTATGGTGTCATTTGGGAGGCTAAGGCAGGAAGACCGTAAGTCTGTGTAGCCAATCTCTAAAGAATCAAATAAAAATAAACAAGGGGGCAATTACAGACAAGACCAGGAGACCAGAGCAGGATCAAGAAGCCTAGGAGATCAGCTCTGGAAATATGGCAAGCCCTAATCTTGAAAGCAAAAATAAATAAATAAATAAATAATAAATAAATAAATAAATAAATAAATAATAGGGCTGGGGTTGAGGCCCAGTGGTAAAGATATATTTGTCCTGCGGGTATGAAGCCCTGGCTTCTATTTCTAGCAACCTCATTAAATAAATAAATAAATAAATAAATAAAATGATGAAGTAAAGATCACCCCCAAAGCTCTCTTGCAGCTCCTCCCTGCCTTCTATCAGAACTTTGTAGCATCTTGGGAATGCTCTGGGGAAGTGAGCCTCTGCGAGAAAGCACGATGAAGGGGTGGAGCCCTGGATGGAATGAGAGCATCCTGTTAAGCACGCACTTTACTGAGACACACCCTTTGTCCTTCCGTGGTCTCATGTATTGTTCATTTTCCAAATTGGAAAAAAAAAAAACAAACACACACAGAGAAGTGACTCCATTTTGCCCAAGGTCAAAACCAGTGAAGGGTTATGAGCATGTCCAGATTTGTAGAATTCCAGTCTGAGCTCTTGAACATGTCACCTGCCACAAAGCCCTCTCCCCTCACCTGTAGAATGGATTAATGCCATCACCTTGCTCCCATCACCAAAATACGCTGGGATTCTGCCAGCAGCAACTACCACCTAAGCACTCTCGAGAGTTACCTATGGATTCCGGACGTTCATTCTGAAGACTCTTAAGCAGCTATTGTCGGAGTCAGGAGACACTAATTCTAGTCCTGGATCCTTCTTAGATGTGGAGAACAATTTCTTTCTCCGTATCTAGGTTTCCTAGTCCTCAATCTCTAGAATATAGTGTGGAGTTAGAGTAGGGTGTGCGTGTATGACTGGCTTTTTAAAGTCCATCCTTTGAGGCCTGGTTATCCCAGGTTCTCAGCTGAGCTTCCCACCGTGTCCTACAACAGGACTGTCCCTCCCACTCGAGACTTACTCAACCCCTAGAGCCCAAGTTCTTGGTAGACAAGGAAAAGGTGTGACTTTTTTTTTTTAAGGACTAGGGATCTAGAAAAACAATGCCTGGATCTGCTCAAAGGAGCTGAAAGGCAAGAACCAGCTCTAAGGAAAAGAGCCGCTGATGGCATCTTGGAAGCCCGGCGTTACTCAACGCCTTTCAGCAGCTCGGGCAAAGGCGGGCAGCTCGGCCCAGGCCTAGGCCGACTGCGAGGACTCAGGCGGGCTGACTGTGAGAGCCGGCCGAGGCCGCGGGACTGGCAGAGGCGGGGCGGCCCAGGCCCCGCCCCAGGCGTGCGCGAGAGGCCGAGCCCCGGCCCTGGCCGCCCCGCCCGGCCGGGGGTCGCCGCGGCCCTGCTTCCATTGTGAGGGGGAGGGGAGAAGACGCGGTGAAGGGCTCCGTCGCACACTGCGCCCAGTCCCCAGGACCCTGACTCCCCGAGCTCCTCGGGAACGGCCGGCCGAAGCTTGCCCCCGCTAGCCCGGACAGGACATCCTTCCCTCCATTCGTACCTTCGGAGTCGCTGCCCAGCGACTCCTGCTTCTGCTGCTGAGGTTCCTCCGCCGCCATCTTTAAACAGCGCCGCACTGGTGATCGCTTCCGGGTTATTAATTGCCCTCCTCCCGGAAGGGAGCTCTCCTTGTGGCCCCTCCTTCGCAACGCCCCTAGCAACAGGCTCCCAGGCGGTCGTCAGGGCCTGGGCTGCTCCTGCCTCCCTGGAGAGCTTGGGGGCTGGAGTCCTCTGGGGAAGCGGATGGACCCAACGCTCGCTTCCACATTTCCACTTTCCCAAAGGTCCTGAGGTGCTAAGGGCCTCCTCGAGTCACTTCTGTTTTCTGTATACTGAAAACAGATAAGGAACAAGATGGAATTAAAGTCACTAGAAGGTTTATCCCAGCTGGGCGTGGATTCAAGGTACGCGAATGTAGCTGCAGTGCAATGCAGAGCGCGGAGCCACCTCGAGACAGGAAGTGGTGACAACCTCCTGAGGCCCTTCGGAGCCGCGAAATCGCGGTCTCTCGCCTCTCACCACTGAGCCTGTTCTCTACAGGCTTTGGAGACCTGTTTCCAGCACAGAGAGCATCTTCCCTTGATATCAAAACCAAAAGTCTCGACCTAACTTTGGGCTATATGTCCTCCTATGTGAGGAAGCAGAGCTATTTAAAGCCATGGACTTGAGTCCATCATCCGAACACGTGAAAGGTAGAAACATGGAGGATCAGGATTCAAGGTAATCTTGAGAGTTTCGGGTAAGGCTACAAGAGACCCTGTCTCAAACAGACCAAGCCAAACAAAACCTGAGCCAAAAAGTGGCCGTCCTTGCTAATTTTTGCGGAAGCTACCTATTTTCTTAGGGTTATGTCTCCATTCTGAGAATTGGACGCTCCCGTCTGCAGGCCCTGTGTACCCTGAAAAGCAAACAGCAGAGAGTTTGTAGGAGAAGGCATTTACTTCTTGGTAGTCTGGCTATAGCTAGCACTGAGCCACAGAGACTCCTTTTACCCTCCAGAGTAGCGGTTCTCTGTCCTGACTAGTCCTAACCCCAGCTCCTGTATGGTCTCCCTAGTCCAGGTAACAGAGGCCAGGCTGGAAAAGCTCTCTTAAAGATTAAGAAAAATCAAGTACAGACTAGGCATGGTGTCCACCATTAATCCCAGCACTAGGGAGGCATGTGGATCTGTGAGTAGAGACTAGCCTGGTCTACAGAGTGAGTTCCAGACTCACAGATTACACAGAGAAAACCTGTGTAAAAAAGAAAAAAAAAAAAAAAAAAAAAGAAGGGATTAGGGATTTAGCCCAGTGTTAGAGCTCTTGCCTAGCAAGCACAAGGCCCTGGGTTCGGTCCTCAGCTCTGGGGAAAAAAAAAAGAGAAGAAAGAAAGAAAAAAAGGGGTGGGGGAGCCTAAAAGAAATCGTGTCCTTTGTCATTATTCTCTTGTTAAAATTTTTGTTATTGTGTCTATAGTGTGTGGAAGGCTGTATGTGCCAAGGTGCTTGTGTGAAAGAACACAACTTTATAAAATCCATTCTCTCCACTTTTATATGGAGATAGAACGAAGGTTGTCAGGTTTGTGTGGCAACACTTTGCCCACCTGGCCATCTTGCCAGCCCACTTCTTTTATTTATATATATTTTGAAGATTTACTTGTGTATGTATATGAACCACATGCATGCCTGGTGCCTAGGAGGCTAGAAGAGAGCATGGGAGGGTGGAGGGGGGGTTCTGAGCACTCAGCCCAGCACTTCCAGGAGCGCTGCTGGAGTGCAGGAAGGACTGGCTATAGTGAGAAATTGGGAACAGAGCCTCGGTTTATAACTTTTAGAAAATATTCTTTTTTAATTTTACTTTTTTAAAAAAAGATTGTTTATTCTATATGAGTGCTGTCTTGATGCACACCGGAAGAGGGCATCAGATCCCATTACAGATGGTTGTGAGCCACCATGTGGGTGCTGGGAATTAAACTCAGGTCCTTCGAAAGAGCAGCCAGTGCTCTTAACCACTGAGCCATCTCTCCAGCCCCCCCAAAATATATATTCTTATTGAACACTTTTGTATGTGTATCTGAATGTAGAAGACTGTCCTGGCAGTGTAGATAGGGTCAGAGGACAGCTTGTGGATCCACCAAGCAACATACCCTCTGAGCCTCTCCTCGGCCCCTATCTATAACTTCTCTTAATAGCATCTTTGGTATCTAGTTTTGGGGTTTGGCTTTCAAGACAGGGTTTCTCTGTGTAGCCCTGTCCTACAATTCTGTAGACCAGGCTAGCCTCAAACTCAGAAATTCTCCTGCCTCTGCCTTTTTAGTGTGTATGCCACCACTGTCTGGCTTTATTGATATTGTTTTATATTAAACTTTCTAGATGATTCCCAGGTAACCTTTTTTTTAAAAAAACTTTATTTATCTATTTATTATAAGTACACTGTAGCTGTCTTTAGACACCCCACAAGAGGGCATCAGATCTCATTGTAGATGGTTGTGAGCCACCATGTGGTTGCTGGGATTTGAACTCATGACCTCTGGGAGAGCAGTCAGTGCTCTTAACCACTGAGACATCTCACCAGCCCAACCTTTTTTTTTTTTCAAAGATTTATTTATTT